ACAAAAAAAAATAATAATAATAATATTTAAGTCAGAATCAAAGTAAAAAATATCGATTACACCTTAGTCGATTATGAATAATATTTACAAAAGGATGGGAGTGCATACTCAGTTTTCACCAAATAGCACCTCTGATTGATTGCGATAAACATTTTGAAAAGTTTAAGAAAAAATATTTACTGAAATATATATCTAATATGACCATTTAAATCATTGCAACCAGCTAAAAATTAATTTATCAAAGCTATCGCGGATTAGTGTGATTAAATATTTCTTTACTTGGAATTATATTTCTATCTTCAGAGAAAATATTCGCAGCGCCTCGATTCTGATCATATTTAACGTAAATTTACGATATGTAATTTCTATATTATATTGGCTGCCCTCTTATTAACATTTGACAGTTGCGCGCGCTGACCACTTTATTTTTTCTTTTACTATCGGCTTAGCCTCATGCGTCTCATTTCGATTACCAGAAATATGACTCAACATGAGACGTACAAATTGAAAAATATATATAAAAATCTATTGACGAGTATTAAACAAAGTCCACACACACGAATACCAAAATATAACAAAATTTGATCCAATAGTAGGTATAGCTTTTATTAAAGTTTTCTCCAGCCATCTCATGTTTTGTGCTGTTATACAATAATTTTATTTTTTTGATTTCTAGTAAACCACGTATACAAAGTAAATTATATTTTTATAGTTAAGTAAAATAAAAATTACAATTAAAATTTTAAAAATACAACATTGTATTCGCTTTTAAAAACTTCTATGAACTACAGGGCATTTTTTAATTCATCGATTAAATGTTCCCTTTTTAGTAATTTACTAAGCTTTTTTTTATTGGTAACTTGTTTTTTTTAGTTTTAATATTTCACAGAAATATTGAAACTGTCATATCAAATTTGAAAAACACTATATAAATATTATAAATATTATAAATGTATAACGGTGTTAGCTAGTGCAAAAAGCGAACCCTTCGATTTCGTTTGCGTGACGGTTTCTTAACTACATATATCCGTTGATTTGTCGTGATTTCCTTCCCCTCCTTGCTAAGGTGGTTCATGCCGATATCATACATATACATACATTTTCCGATCTGTTTGGTGATTAATTTACGCATTTCATATGTAAATCGGGTTTCGAAAGCACTATGGGTTCGCTTCGTTAACTATAACCCCGAATAGCCGGATACTCGTCAAATTTGATTCTACGTATACAATCCTATACACACATTGTACATGAAATATATTACAAATAATTATCATAATCTTACAAGCGTTTGCGTTCGTTTCAGACCTGAAGCGAATATTACGTCACATATTATTATCTATAATATATAAAACCGATAGTTTATAAAATTATAATATATATTATAATTCATAATACATAAAAACTTGATATATATATATATATAAAACGAGCTGGTCCATCTGAAATTATTATTAATAATTTACGTTACATGACGCATTTAATTCTATTAGTGATGAAAAATAACATGAGCGTATTTTGGAAATCAACTGAATGAAATAATTCAATTTGAAGATCTGTTCAAATGCTTAACGGCAAAGTATTTATTTATCAGTATAGTGAAGTAGATATGCTATAGTGACACGTGTGATTTTCGAAACTCAGTGTTGAATGAAAACGAATGATATATTGAAGGCTTGAGTTTTTATTTTTTTGTATTCCGAACGGACTATTTAATGCATTTAATTCGTCTCGTTTTACTTTTTGATCCGGCTTGCTTATTTCATACGAAGGATAAAAAGATAAAGGGTTCAACAATTCAGACTACTCGTGTAAGACGATAACTTATTAATAATACTAAAGTATTCTGAAAATCGTCCACTTATCGTGCAGGTATCGAATTCAACGTCTAAAAGTTTAACGAAACGGCGTATCCTGTGAGGAAACCGTAATTGTGTTTCTGAAACAGAAAACTGGAAGAAAAAAGCATACAGAATAGTGTGACGAAATTGTGTGTGAGAATATATTTCACATACAAACAAATAAGACAAGGCTTTCCAGTTTCACAACATTAAAGTAATCATCGCTTAAAGTAAATGTGACGTGAGTTTTTCAAAAGAAATGTTATATCATATAATACACATATTTTTGGGCTGGAAACAACTTTTTTTTTCTGATCAATTTCGCGTACGGTGATGATGATTCAGCTGATAATGATAATGCTGATAATTTTGAAAGGAGTGGTAGTGTTTATGATGATATTGCTAGTGTAGATGATAATTATTTTTCTGACCGATTATAAATAAAAGCACGAAGATTGGACGCAACTTATACTGACACAAACAAATATATTCATATTATTCAATGGACATTCTGTAAGTTTTATCAAGTAATGAACCTCATTTTTTTTTAAACATTTCGTTGATTTTATAATAATTAAAAAATTTCTCGTAAAAAATGTTTAACAAAAAAAAAAAAAGTTGTCAACAACACGCAATGTTCCAAAACGGTCAGTCATCCAAGTACTAAACTACAACTGACTTTGTTTAACTTTCAGGATTGAACAAGAACTGGTGTATTTAACGTCAATAATGTCATAAATAAATGTAAATCATAAATTAATTTATTTATTATTTTTTTTTTTATCCTAATGCGTGAAAAATACTAACTAAATTCGAATTATTATACCAATTACTGAACACCCAATAGCTGAACAAAAAAATCTATTTACATACTTATATACTTTATTACATAGATGACTTATGAAATGATTACTATACTTATAGGCAGGCACAAGTAAAAAATTTATAATAACATATTTTAATTAACTTTATTAATACGTATTTTGAAAACCAGTCGTGTACTCATATAAACCCAATGCCGTTGTCATCGTTAATTTATGTGACGCCTGTTATATAACATTTTATAATATAATTACAAAATTTTCGTGAACCGTCTGCATATATACAATAATGATAACTCATTTCCTTATGTTATTAATTTTCTAATAATCGAGAGATAAAATTTTCATTTTCTGAGTTGTTTGCAGAACGAAACAAAAAATCAGTACTATTGATTTATAAATATTTTGAAATACCTTAAAAAAACTATACTTCATTTACTCGTGTTTATAAATTACAAGTACCTAAAGAGTATGCTTGAATAATATTCTTAATGAAGCTATCTAAGCTTTATAAAAAAAAAAATTATTTTTTAATAACGATGTATTCAAAAAGTAAATTATAGGAATAAAAAGTTTTGCGAGTTTTCAATTAATTTTTCGTTATGAATTGCTTTGACGGCTGCAGCCATATTTTCAAAATATTTATTACTTCAGTGTGTACACGAAAAGTTAATGTGATTTTGGGATACATTTTTAAATATAAATATTATATAAATAAAAAATAAAGTAAATTTACAAAATAATATGACTATAATTTATGAAAGTCCTAAAAACTTATCTATCATCTTTTCTAATATAAACCATTTCTCGGGTTTCCACGTTTAATTTATATTATACGTTGTAGAATCTTCAAGGGTAGTGGCACGAGAAACGAGAACAAGAGGGTGATGAGAAATGTGTTTATTTGGACCAGGACTTTTGCCAACAACTGGCCAAGGATAACGGTTGTATCCTGTTCGTGGACAAGGTGAGCGCGGGTAGGGGAGACGGAAGAAAAAGTGCAAAATGTTTTTTTCCCAACATCGAATGACGTTGTTCCTCGCTGCCAGATACGCCTCGGACATATCAATATACCACTTTTTTATTGCTTTATATATCCCTACGCGTTCGAATTAAAACAATTAAAGCATTTGAAATCGTACGATTGCGGTTTAACGACTATTTTATTAAATACACGAGATTCGTCAGAGCCCACATGATGCACCAGGAAAACGATTAGAAAAAATCATAGTCCGGAATTTTAGTTTTAGCTACTTTATATTAAAACGATTCAAATAATAATAGAATAGCCATTATACCGGAAATCCTATTACCAAATTATTATTTTCAAACAAAGAATAACGTTCCGTGAAAGTGCAATCAATACATTGGTAGTGATATATTTTTGCCTAACAGTGATTACACATTTTTTTTTTATCCAAATCGAAATAGATAAAATTTTGCTTGAATGTTATTTTATATGACATATAAGCTCCGTGAATACTATTAAAATAAAATCACACTCTGTGGGGGCTATATGGGATGATTACTGACCTTTTTTCTTTCAATAAACATTATTATGATACATCAAATTACTTTTGCCTTTTATAAATGTTTAAAATTCTTAAAAGTATGACAAAAGTAAATATTTTATACTTATAATTAATTTATCTTGTTACGTTGTAAACCAAAAAAGTAGAAATATTTTTCCCGGAATAATTTAAAGTATATATATCTTCTCCTCCCTCGATAGAAAAACACTAAATTCGCCACTGGCACATATAGGTAGTTAAAAAACTCCAAAAAATATCATTGTCTATTATAGATTGGTACATTTTCTTTTAGGAACGCGAGTGCATTAATTTATTTGTAATTATACTCGGTCCATCGATATTTTATAACAATTTTAAATTATATTTTGAAGAGAGGAAATCGATATGATTCTTTATTATAACTACAGTCGCAAACGCCGTCGGTTAATTTTTAGAATATATTCCAATATAAATTAAAAAAAAAAAAACTTATTTCAAAGTATTACATAAAATGTAATCCACCAATTGTTTTTTATTTACCACAATATGTTTGTGTATTAAACTATACGTGGTATATATAATGTATTTATAAGAAAATAAAATAATATGCAGATCTAATTTAATGTAATTTTACGCCTTCGTGTGTTTGTTTCATGCTGTCTTTCGAGTAAGAAATAACACTCTTCAACCGTGGTACAATTTATACTACCGTGTACCTATATATATATATATATATATATACTTACTAAGTTATATGTAATTTATATGGTGTGATGTCATCTGCTATAAACATGTCAAATGAAATGGTTGTCTTGTTTGTTTTCTAGGTGAACGATGAACCGAAAAAAAATGGCATCGATTTTCGCATTATTGGCCGCGATATGCGTTTGCACAGTATCCGGGATAACAAACAACTGCACCAAGTAATTATATTTTATTATCATCATTATAATTATTATAATTGTAGTGATTATTATTATTGTTATTATATTCACTAAATTCACAAAACCTGTGTCGTATTTTACTTAGCATTATCACATGTTCTATGTAATATTGTAATGGTATTTACCCCATTGAGAACCGTATCACAAATATAAGTACACACACATTAAAATATAGTATTGTACATAGTAACACTGTATAATGCATTTTCTGTGTTTCTGCAAGTAAAATTATTAATAAACACAAATTTTACACTTTACAAAATACCGAATTTTACCGTTATTAATCCGAAAAAGACGGAAATGTAAACGATGATTAATTTATGATCGACAATAATGACAGTCGTAATCACAGCGAATGTTATAATATTATATATGATTGGGACTCTGAAATTCATACATTTTAATTGCATTGATTTTCTCCCTTCCCTTGTAAATTCATAGTCTTATTAAGTTTTAAAAATTTTAATTATTGACAATGAATGAACGTGAGCATCTAAATCACACGATCAGTCCAAATCTGGATCACGAGCTTATTAAAAACGTATTTTATGATAAGAATGTGTTACATTATCCTTACTATGGTTATGAAATAATGCAATATAGTCAATTATCAATAAAATACCGACTGATAATATAACCTTCTAAAATATTACTTTTAGGAAATTCACGAATGGCCCTCTGTATTTGTCAAATAACAAGGACCTAAAACTAAAAAACAATAAATGAAGAAACAAAAGTTTTTAAAAAATATTTCACAACTGCCGTCTAGGTACTTATAAAAATCCACTAATCCAAAACTTTGCCTTTGCTACTTTACCCCCTATCAGACACTTAAGGCTTAAGTGGTGTCGTGATCTCCTTTAAACTTAATAACAAAAACAAACTGTAACAAATTAGAAAGTGTCATTGTTACTGGTGGCTCCTTTTATTTGAAAAAAAATAGTTTAATAATTATTATAGTATTAATTGTACTTTACTATATCAAATATTTTTACTGTATCATATGATACAGATTATGTATCATACAGTAAATTAAAATAAAAGATCAAACAAAAAATGTTTCCATTTTTGCATTTTATTTAAATTACCATCGCAAATTATACCACATGTTTTTCTATTTTTTTGATATATTATAAATTCTGTGACCTAATGATTTCGATTATAACACATGCATACGTTAAAAATGTCATATTCTTAATAGTTAGTTGCGTTTCATAACGATGTATTTTTAATTATAATATCGAATTATTTTTATTGATAAAAAAAAAAAAAGATATCGATATAGAAATATGATATTCAAAAGCATATTTTTGAATAAGCAGAGTTGGTACTTGCCTAGAGTGACAATATTTAGGCGTCATCAAATTTTTAATTTAAAATATATATTATTATATTTTAAAAATACGTAATTCGTATAATATATAGAAAATTCCTTATTTTATGTTTACGAAAAATTATTTTATGTTATTTATTAACTATCTAAATAATTGTTTTAATAAAAGTGGGTTATAAAAATTATCATTGTACATTTTCATTCAAATATATTATACGTCCATTGAAATATTTTCAAATCGGTTAAATAATTAAAAGCGAGAAAAAAAAAATTGTATATAAATTCAAATGGATTAAGGTACAATTCATATTTAGGGTGACAAAATTTTAGTGCTTATAACCGTAAGCAATTTAAATCCACCTCTGGATTATTAATTATTATTAAATTAACAAGACTAAAAATAATATAATAATAATAATAAGTAATTAAAAAATTTACTGACGGATTTTTTATTCGTAATTGTCAAACTAAAAAAAAAAAAATATCAACAAATTCTCGATAAATTAGTCACATCGATATCAGTAAAATTGGTCGGATATCAATATAAAAATACGATATCGATGTAGCGTGCCGAATGGTGGGTTCGACATGGTTTCATATATGTTAAGATGTAAGAATATTTTCAATTAAATTAATAGACTATTAAGAGTACTTGTTACGATATTGCTGATATATATGAATGCTTTTAATTGAACTTCAACATAGACAAAGTAAACTGATAATAACAATTATAAGCTGAGCATACATACTGGATGGCTGGATACGTCTGAAGTTGGTGCTAAACCGGAGCGCTTATATATGCTGTTCGATCATGTCATCATAGGATTAATCTTAAGTTTTCGTCAACTAGTTGCCCTTCTCCTTGTTCGACACATTCGAATGATGACAGTTGTTTTTTCAATTTACAACTTCTCCATACTAATGTTTTCTTGATTCGCGCATGGCTTCCTTCTTGTTACTATTATTTGATTGTTTCACAACTTGGCCATGATCAGTTTTAAATTTTTACTTTTACATAGTAATTATTATAAACACATAATAAATTGATACGTAAGACGTTACACCGTTGTGCATCACAACTAGCAAGTGAATACATATGAAATAAACATGCGGTCCGTGAGATCAGGAAAAACTATAGCTCACGAAAGTAACGATGTACGAGTCGTACGAGCTTAAACGATATTATTTTAAGTTAACACTCGCTGTCTACGTCGGGTATAGTTTTAAGGGCTGTGCATACGAACTTCGATAAAAACCGCGACACATGTCATCAATGCATTCTAACGTATATGCTATGTATATAACAATAATTATTACCACGACCGTACATGCACGTAGAACCGTATGCTACGTATAACTCCAGTGAGCTTATTCAGATTAATTTTATTTTGTCGACTCGGATGTTTGTTCGCCACAGGAGCCGTGAGCAGAAAATATGACGAAGTTTCGTACAGCAATACTGTTATTATTATTATTGTTATCATTATTATTATTATTATCATTATCATTATTCGTTCGTGGTTAAGTTAATTCAAACCGACACGTATAACCGATATATAAGCGATATCGTCATTATTATTATTATTATTATGTTCGTCATATAGTGCGACGATGATTGTTTGGATTCCGTTCGTTTTATCGCATGTGTACATACATCGTGTCAAAGGGGATGCGCGAATTTCTTTTATCCGACAAACTACCTCGTCTCCGTTCAAAGATTTTACCTCGGAGGTTGAACATCTCATATTACGTCGTCGTACGTCTTAGTGTAGAGATATTTGAGTTTGTTTCACGTACAAATACATATATTGTTATGTACACATCGTTTCCGCTCCCGAAGTGCTCTCTCTCTCTCTCTCTCTCTCTCTCTCTTTATTTCACTCGTACATACCATATATACGCGGCCCAGTGCTGTACATCATATTATGTAATACTGGTACGCACACGTTATACGTATATTATTATATCTGAACCCCGTATAGTACCGGAGTAGGTAAACAACGAATAAAAAATATAAAAAATAACAATAAATAGATATGTGCGACCATGCGGCGCTAGGCGTGCGTGATGCAATATTACGAAGATTTCGTGACTCGTGAGCCGTGTTTAATAGAAAAAATAAAAATAATAGATTTGATTTTTTTTTTCTCGTTTCCATATCATTAATACTCCAACTGTGGAAGTAATTTCTTTAAAATTGCTGTATTATAATAAAAAAAAAAAATTACGTTCAAAGTTATACGAGTGTGTATAGTGTGAGTGAAAAGCTTTCTTCCATGCACTCTGTGGCCAACGGCGTCATTATAATAGTATAATGAATGCACTATGCAACATTTTGTAAGAGCTTCAGTTCAATGGGCTGCGATAATGGAGCAAGAGGAAATAGTTATTTTTTTAAAAGCATGACTTCGTAATTTATGTAATACTCTTTTCTCTATTTTAAGAATTCTATTCGAAAAATAAAAATAAACAATCATTTTTCATAAAATATATTTTACTTTTAACGTTCTTTCTTTTCTTCCTCTACACCCACTCTCGCACATCCGTCCCTCTCCCTATATCTCATTCTATTTTTCTCTCACTAATATCCTATACGGCTATATAGCTGACTTTCAATATTGCCCATTATTTACCATATTTATTTATTTTTATTTTTCTGTTTACGGCACTCACTCGTAAATCTATTACGTAATAATATTTTTTCTAAAACAAAATATAAAATATTCGACCTCATTCGAAAGAATAATTTTACCTCTTATTTTACTGCTATACACACGAATTTCAGAATCATGATACAACACTCAGCGAGAGACCCATGTATATACGTTACCGCATATTTTCATTATTCAAACAATCATATTTCCGTAGGTATCGTATTTGTATGTAAATACGAAATAACGTTCTAAATGTACACAAAAGGTTCACCTCAACCAGAATCCATTTACATGAAATTGGTGAAATAATTAATTAGTTAAAATCAATTTGCATGCTACGTTATTGTACAGGTGTACATATATTAATAATATTCACCTCCAGCAACGATACCGCAAATAATGTATACGTACGACTGCCGGAGATGATTTATTGTAATTAAGAAATTAACGTACAATTGTTTACTCGTGTTTTGGGATGGTTGGCATACGCATTTACGTTTGCTGTTGACCGTTGGGAGTACAAATTCGGGTACGAATTAAATCGGATAAATCGGTTCGAATGAGATCAATATATTACACAACCATAATAATATATGGTAGACAACCGTAGGAAGGAAATGGGACCCGGAGCACAGCTGTGTAATGGTCGAATATTAAAGGTAGATCTTACGGAAATCATAATGAATATGTATTGAGGTCTGACCGGGTCGGTTTAGTTCTGGGAGTAAAAACGTGTTAATTTTTTTTTGGGGCTCGGTTAACAGGTTAAAACCGGGTTTTATATTTTCTCGGGTTTCAGTTAACGGGTTATAATTGGGCTTTATGTTTTCTCGGCTTTCGGTTTAAGGGTTAAAAGTTCTAATTTAAAACCGAGTTTTAGGTTTTCTCCAGTTTCGGTTTACGAGTTAAAACGGGGTTTTATGTTTTCTCGGGTTAGGTCAACGGGTATAATTATATTTTGCTGCTTAAATGTATACAATAAAAACTATAAA